TAGGGAAAGGTGTGACTCCAAAGGGGCAGCTCAAGGGAATTTTTGGGGGTGATGAAACTGTTCTGTACCTGGGTTATGGTTGTGCTAACACAAACATACATATGCTAAAATTCATAGAACTGTATACCAAAAAGACAAAAGTGAGGTGCTTATTAATTGGAGACTACCTCTAACTACAAGACCAGGAAACTAATAAATTGGAGGAAATAGCTATCATGAAAAAGTAATTTTTTATGAGATAAAAATAGAACAAAATGAAGTTTTAGACTTGTTTTAAAATCTTTTTTTCTGAATACTCTTTTCAGAGACATATCTTCACTAAAAATATATATATATTTTTTATAGAACACATAAGCTTAATTAAAAAAAACTAAAACACTGCTCAGATATCTTATTTTGGTCTTATTTTGTAGGATTGTCTATTTCTTCAAAGAAATACATCTGAGATCTTGTAAATCTTTGCCTCAGATTTTTTTTCCTATACTAGTATCACAATATGACCATTTTATTTCTCTGGTTCATTGTTATCCATCTTATACAGGCTGAGGTGATTTCATTGTGATTCTTAAAGTTTCTGTTAATATTCGAGTTTCTTTTAGTACAAAGAATAAGAAAATGATACCTATTGACAAGTCGTAGTGGGAAAAGTTTGAAAGGGACCATAAAATAAGGAGGGATCCTGAATGTAATGCATTTATTTAAAGAATAAATGTGAACTAGAATGTGTAATAGGACCTTAGCATGTAGGAACTGAAAATTAATTTTCTGTATATATTCTCTTTAGCTCTGAACTTGGCAACTTAAGCAAGATATGGAAACAATTGGCAAGGTTCCTTCGAGGGAATTAAAAATTCTATTAGAGAGTGAAAATAAAATCTTTAAGAGAAGGTAAAAGAATTGAAGTTTCCTAGGGAAGAGAGAGTTTAAAGCATATGAAGAGCTGGAACATGGATGATAACTCTTCATTTCATCTGACCAGGTGGTACAAAAAGGATTGTCCTAAATTTTTCTGGAGGGATTGATTGGCACACGAACTTTTCTTTGTATTCCAAGTTGATCGAGACCACGTTGTGTGCTCACTCTTTTTTCCCTGGGCTTTTCTGACATTGTACTTTTCTGGTTCTTTACCATCTGGGACATTCTTATTTTGACTTCCTTTCTAGCAGGGGGCTCTCTCTTTAGCTCTCTCTACTCTGACCCTTCCTTCCCTCTTTTCCCCCTCCTTCTTGGTGAAATCTCTTGGCTTTTGCTTCTGTCTTGTTCATCTCAAATTCATTTTTTACACACAGCCACCAGTGAGAGCTCTCCAAAATAAAATATGGACGTCACTTTCTTGCTCAAAATTCTTTAGCAATTTCCTGTAACCTGTAGTAGAGGTTCACAACCACCATCTCTCTAGGGCCTGGATCTTGGTGAGAGAAGTAGAGTGACAAGTGTCCATAACCCCCTGGCCAATGTCATCTCTGTGGCAATCCGCTATGAAAGATGGTCACCTGAGCATATGAGTTACCCACCCAGTGTGTCAGGAAACAAGGTGGAGGATAATGGGTTTATAGAACAGGTTCAAGTTCCTTAGGGCGTGGGAGGTCCTCCATGCTCTGTCTGCTGCCTCTGCAGCTCCCACACATCTCATCCTGCCCTAGACTGAGTTTTGTTTTCCTGCATCTTCCATTATACCTGGCTGGCAGTCTTTGGGATTTGTTTTTTAATAACAAATCTAAAGGGAAGTAAAAGCTTTTAAAATTAAAGTCACTGGGGATATTTTGTAAGATTTGTTTTACTTACATTTTGAAGACAAAAAGAGGCTGGATTTCCTGATTTTTGTCCCACAGTATCTCCAGAGGGATTTGCCATTTTAGTTTTGAGTTTGTCTACAGTGGGTATTGATAAGATAAAAATAGAAATCAAGATGAGTATATATTTATAGAATACTAATGAATAAATCCATTGAGAATGGTAATTTTTCTCTACGGAGTGTTAAAATATTAGAGCCAACAGGCCCTTAGAGATCATCTACTTCAATCTCATTATATGGATGAGAAGAAAACTGAAGCCCTTGAGAGGCTTGCCCAGCACTCAGCAGAGGGTGTGGTAGGCCCATCTAGAGCAGGAACCTGTGACCTCAGGGTCTCACTACACTAATTCTCCTTTCACTGCAGGAGTTTTCAAACTTGATGAATATATTTTTAAGCAGAGGAAGCCCCCCTCATTTTAAGTAAAATGTATCCATTTAATCTTTTTCTGTGAAATGTTTCAAATTTGTACAAAAAATAGAAAAGTAAGCTACTTGTTCCAATAAAGTGGTGTGTATATATATTTGTGCATTATATAAATGTATATGTATATATTATATGTTCATATATATTTAGATGTAGATTTAGTTGTTCTCTAATTTCTCTTACACGCCATAAGGCTTTAAATTTTGTTGAGCTTCAGAATCTTTTTGAAATAATACGTGTAAGTGATTTCAAATTTGTGTGTGTGTGGGGGGGGGAGGGTGTCCCTAATTCTCATTATTATTTGGAAATCTTATTTATATATGCTAATGCTGATTCTAAATTCAGAAATAATTAAATTAATTCAAACCTGTTTTGAATTGTGTTTAACATAGAAGGGAGTATGTTCAGTGTCTGTTGTTTTTGTAGGTGCATGTGAAGGAACCTTGGCTTGCTCTACCTGTCACCTCATCTTTGAAAAACACATGTATGAGAAATTAGAAGCAATTACTGATGAGGAGAATGACATGCTTGATTTGGCGTATGGTCTAACAGACAGGTAAGATTTTAGGACCACTTCAGTTGTACTAATAATCTGGGAAGATAAAGATTTTATTGGTTCATGTCTGTTTAAGACCAGACTTATGCATGTAGTAGTGTTCTCACGGCATAGGTAACAGAAATTTTGAATATCAAATATGAGACATTTCTCTTTGTTTTCACTATTCTGCATAAGTTTAGCTCTTATGAAACTTTCCTTTTTACAAAAGTAAAAAATAAAAAATTAATTGGCGGTCTTGGAAGTGTAAGTTCTAAATTCTAATAAATCTTTAGTTTATTTTTATGCTAGGAATATTTATCACAATTTAATGAGTTAGTATTAAATTTAATGCTTTTTATGGCATTATTGACAGACAGATTTGATACTTGAACAATGGAAATTATCATTTGATAATTATAATGGAAAGTTTTACCTACTTTGGAAAACAGAATTTTTAAAGGAACTTACATAAAATAGCAATTGTGTTAAAATGAATAGTTCTGTTTCTAAGTATATAGTAACGTAAATTAGATTATTGTTAATTAATATATAGGATTACTCTTAAAAGTAGTAAGATCTAAAGCAGGGATCCCCAACTCCCAGGCTGTAGACCAGTACTAATCCGTGGCCTGTTAGGAATTGAGCCGCACAGCAGATGAGCCGCTGGTGAGCCACTGAAGCTTCATCTGTATCTGCAGCTGCTCCCTAGTGCTAGCATTACTGCCTCAGCTCCACTTCAGATCATCAGGCATTAGATTCTAATACGAGCACCAGTCCCTAGTGCCAAAAAGGTTGGGGACTGGTGATCTAAAGTAAATGATATCAGACGATGTCTTATTTTTTAAAATTATTGAGATGAGCCACTGGTGAGCCACTGAAGCTTCATCTGTATTTGCAGCTGCTCCCTAGTGCTAGCATTACTGCCTCAGCTCCACTTCAGATCATCAGGCATTAGATTCTAATACGAGCACCAGTCCCTAGTGCCAAAAAGGTTGGGGACCGGTGATCTAAAGTAAATGATATTAGACGATGTCTTATTTTTTTAAATTATTTAGTCTTGGTTGGAGTAAGGGAAAGTAGCTAGTTGATATACTGTTTCAAGGGACAAGATAATGAGGTCTTATGTAAGGTTGGCTTTGGTGTTTAATTGTAATTTGGTGATCCTAGTGAAAAATAAATTTTTTAAAAATTAAAAATAATAATAGCTTTAGTTTGTGTATATTATGTAACTACAATTTAGTTAGACACTTAACATAAACTGCCTTATCTAAAAACAAACTGTCTTATCCTCACAAAAATGTTTAGGTCATTGGTATTTATTTAGAGGTGAAGAATAATTTTATTCCTTTTGTAGTTCATGTCCCTCTTGGTGGAGGTAAGACTGATACCCTGGGAAGAGAAACTGGGAAAATATTATCTTCTTAGACTCCCAAGCAAAGCAGATTATGGCTGCCATCTGCCTGTCTCCCCTCACATCTTCAGGTGCTACTATCTCTATCAACATCTTGTTTTCATAAGAGATAATTAATACACAGAATACACTTAATGGTTGTTGATTTGGTTCTGAGAATTGTCTCCCTCCTAATGGGAGGGGTAAATCATAGCTAACTGCTTGCCCTTTTATTTAGGTAAAATTTATAGGTGCATGGAACAGATAATATTCTAAGTGAAAAGAAAAAGGAAATTAGAGAACTACAGTTAGAAGAGATATGTTTTTTCACAGAGTTGGAGGAACAAAGTAAATGGTTGTTTAAGGTCCAAAGAGGCTTATTTACCTTTGTTCAGTACTCACTGAATATCCTGTACAAGGCACTGGGTTCACAAATGAAACAGACTCGCTGTGCCCTCTGGAGTTCAGTCTGAGAAGACTTTCAAAGCCAGGAAATTAACCCTATGAGCTGGGAAAGGGCTCCGCTCAGACCACCATGGGCATGCGGAGGGGAAGCAGCAACTGAATGGGTTTCAGGGAGGGTCTCTGTGATGTCTTATGTGTTATTTATTCGAGCCTTGTCTGTTCCACTAATACATAAGTAACTTTTCTGAGCATAAAAAAAAAAAGAGAGAGAGAGATACACAAATGTAAAAATATACAAAAGACTTAATGTAAATGTGAACTAGCCAAGAACTTTGATAATAAAATTCAGAAGTTCTAGAAGAAGATAATAGAGAGCAAAGACTAGCTTTTATGCCGTTTTATAACTGGTATTCTTAAGTACACAGAC